CTTATATTCGTGCAACGATATCTTGTGCTTTTGATGCGGCTTGTGCTTACGGTGTTCGTGCGTAGCACCGTATTGATAGCGGGTTGCTGAACATCCGTCGTTTCGGTGCGAGACAACTACGCGTGTGTTGCTATTTGCTGACGACTGTGCATTGTTTGCACACAGCGCGGATGAGTTGCAGCACATGACTAGTGCTCTGGCTTCGACAGTGGCCAAATTCGGGCTCACCATCAACATAAGCAAAACTGTCAGCATCTTTCAGCCTTTACCGGAAGTACAATCTGCAATATTGTCGCAAATATACACTGGTGATGAAGTATTAGAAATCAACTCCCGCTTCTCCTACCTTGGTAGTGTGGTGTCGACTAACTAGCAGCTTCATAGTGAGCCTCGTATCCGCGTCTCGAACGCAGCGGCGGCATTCGGGAAACTTGAGTACCGAGTGTGGTACAAATATCATTTTACCGATGGGACGAAGCTGACGGTGTACAAATCCATGGTGCTGTCCGATCTTCTAAAGGGCAGCGAAACGTGAACGAGATACCAGTGGGATGTGCGATATCTCGAGCGGTTAAATCAACAGTGTTTGCGACGGATTGCGCGCATCGCTTGGTGCGACAGAGTTGCGGACACGGAGGTGTTGCGTCGAAGTGGAATGTATGCAGTGGACTGCATACTTTTGCTGAGACACCTGAGGTGGCTCGGTCATGTGAGCTGTATGGATTCGACGCGGATACCGAAACAACTATTATATGGTCAGCTGAGTATTGGGAAGCGGCACGTGAGGAAACCAAAGTTACGTTACCAGGACATGATCAAAGTGAGCCACTCACGTTCTAATCTTGAATGCAGGTCATGGGAATAGAAGGCGGTTGATCGGCGTGCATGGCGTGATCTGATCACGAAGACGGTTGCCGAGGTGCAAGAGAAAGCCCTTGTGCATGCAGAGAAAAAGCGACATCGAGCGCATGATGCTGTAGCACATGCGGTTGCGAGTGCCTGAGTCAGGCAGGCCTAGTGAGCCATGAGCGAGGCCACTCGGGTTCAACGGGGAAACGGCGACGTGTCCTGCGGAGAACGGGAGCAGAACCGGCGCAGCATTTTAAGTACGCTGCATTCGATTTACTAACCGCGTGCTTGTACGTTGAGTCTCTTTATTTCAGGTGGTGGGTTTGCTATATTGTCCTAATGCTTTTTTTATCTCATATTAATGTCTACCTGAACTATCTTCTATTAACTTGTGCACGTAATTGTAGTTAACTTGATAACATTTTCGCAGCTGTGGCATTTTCTTAGGATATATTTTCTGACGTATTGAACCCTTCGCAGATTGTTTGCGACCAATTTATTTCATGCACTCATTCAGTGAAGAGTAATCTCAGCGTATGTGTATGCGTTATTCGATTTATTTAACATGATATAGTGGTTTCGAGTGATTGGCTGTTGCTCTATACCCCCGTATGGCTGTACTTGATGTGGACGTTGACTAGGTGCCTACCTGTCTATTAATCACTACGTCGTCCATACTGGCTAAAGGAGACAGTTGGTCGTTGCTGGAGGGGACGGGGTGTACGGTCCTTGTGATCGTGCTAGGCTCGAAGAGTGGTTCCATGCACTCAGTGTGGAACGGCCTACGGTCCAGCCACCGCCTTGTGTGCGCTTGATTCCCCAAATCCGGCGTGCTTGTGTTTGCCTGTGAAGGAGTGTGAGCCGGATCCGTTGATGAAACGTGGCTCCCATCCACATGCCTCCCGGTCTTATTCCTTCGGGTTTACACTGGAGATGGGGTGTGTGGTTGGAGCTGTGGGTGGTGCAGCGCAAGTCACCCATGGTCCCCCTGTTGGTGCAGGCGTCCAGTGGCTGGCCATAGTGACAGGCAAATCCGAAACCGGATGCCGCAAACCACAGAGGTTATTTAGGGTTTGTTGGGCTGCTTTAACTTTGTTTAGATGTAAGATAATATCGCCCGCATAATCGAGATCAACTAGGTTTTCATCAGGTAGTACCTCAACGTCCGCGTCATGAGGCTCCGCAAGAGAACACTCCATGAGGATGAAGTTGGACAGAACTGGGGGAAATGGACAACCCTGACTGCCAGCTGCTGTTGGAAAGATATCAGATAAGTAACCATAGACCCTGACGCAGCCTACGATGTTAGAGTACAGGGCATTTAAAATTTCCACATATGTTATGGGAACACCTTCTTTACGCAAGTATTTCGAACAGAATTGAATTGAATCCGCGTAGATGACGTCCCGGTATACCCAACCCGAACACGAGTGACGGTGGTCACATGGTAGCGAAGCGTCGGTACGGTATGCCGACTTAATGCTGATAACCGTTTGCTTATAAATATGATTGCAGAACCAAAATCTAATCAGTACAAGCTGTTCCGCCCATAACATTGTTTAGAGCGTGCGATTAGCTCCGGATATTGGCCCTCCACCCATGTTTCTTCTGCATGCATCGAATTCGAAATAACTTCCAAGACACCGTGCACTTTTCGAAAGCAGCAAAAATGAGCAGTTATGCTACTTAGAAACGAGTACAATACCCGTACTCATGACTGTAAGAGCGGGAGTTTATACTATAAGACGTTGCCGAGGAAAGGTGCACCGGATCACAAACAGACCTCATATGGGACAGTTTATGAGCGTGTAGCAACGTAGCACCATTACAAAATGTCGATGTATCGCTGTGGATAGTGAAAACGATGACGTCAAAAGAATGAAAAGTTAGCGTGAATTAGGATGGGAGCTATCAACCAGGACAGGGATACTATGCAGAACTATATGCATCCAGCTGTTAAATAGGATCCATCTGAGTAGTTTACAGTCAGTGTTTTTCATCAGAGCAACACTGATGCTGTAAATGACTCAAATCAGCGGAAAAACATGAAAGCGCCTGCAAAGAATTAGTATGTATCTTCTCTTTTTGATGGATGCATCCAATTAACATCCGCTTAGTGTTGTTCGTGCGGGTCGAGCAGATTATGCAATTCGGACTGATTACGCGATATCGTTTGCGTGAAACCAAGTCGCCGTATCGACGATGGCCGAAACTTTGCCAATAGAATGACGCATGTTATTCGAGATGAACGTGACCATACGACAGCGCCCAGGACCAGAGAGAGAGAAGAAAAGATAGCTTTCGCACGAGTGGTTGTAGCAACTCCAGATGCAGGTGACATAAGTCCAGACAACCTGTGGGTCATAACGCAAATGACTCACTACGCCGGATGTGCGTTTAGTCGAAATGAGGTTGTTCGCGAAACCATGCTGCGTCGTGGGTTGGAAGTCACATGGTCACTCTACGAGTGCCATGCGGCGCAGCCCTTTGATTGCGCGCGCGAGTATTGGAGTCCGTGCCACGAGTGCGGAATCACTTGACGTTCCCACAATGAGAAGATAGACAGTATCAATCGATTCCGAGATAGAGAGTCCATTAACGCAGTGTGATCTTGTGTGTGCTTCGGAGATGCAGTACAAAGAAACTACAACGAGGAGTACGGGCCATGGAAAAGCAGAAACCAGTCCAGATTGGAAGGAGCATTCAGGAACGCTGCAAGCGCATGTTGCTAGCAAGGACTGGCTTCCTATCCTTTACAAGTATAGGATGATACACAGAACGCTAATGAAGCAGGGAAAAAAGCATGGGTAAAGATGGTTACTCATGAATGAGAAAGTAATTTGGTCCTAGAGTACCGACCCCCGATCTTGGATACTGATACCACAAGGAAGTCTGCGGGACAAACCTCTGCATAGAAGACTCTCCTCAAAGTCTTTGACTCACCAGTCTGATACACAGTGGGGAGGAGGTTCCGGGTAGGGAGTGCAACAGGACCCCCAACGGGACCTGTTTAAGACCGGTCACACATAGCCCTGGAAAACCCATATCAATTAATGTGCGTTCCTCTGACATGTCATGTGCTACACTTGTCGTCACTGTCGGATGCAGGTCACCGGCTAGCTGGGTTGTGGTAAACGGTGGCAACTAAACAGGCAACAGTTGTAAACCGATGAACGAAAAAATTACAAGCGTGGCATGTAATCCGAAGGTCACCGGTTCGAATTCGCGTAGGTGCGAGCGATGTCGTGGAATACTCCTTGCCCACACTCGACCGGTGGTGATAGCGTGGCAGCGAAGCGTTGGTATGATATGTCGGCGTACTGCTGATATTTCCACCACTAGGTGACAATTATGTTCTCCGACCATCAAAGACAGCCCATAGACAAACGCCTACTGTTGTTTGCTATGGCTAGAATCTTTAAAGAGGGGGATATCGAGAATGAGTTTGATTAACATCTAAACAGTGACTTGTTAGATATGAGTGGTTTTGAAAGTCGCAGATACAAAAAGAGATGGGGAAACTAATAACGAAGTAGATGTGAGGGATGACAGTTATATTCAAATGACCGAATAAGAGAACATCAGTGACTCTTCGACACGGTCATGCCTAATAATGTACCCAACCACTAATGTGTTCGATCCGATTGCTGCAATCCCATATGACGGCAAATACAAAGTCTTTCTGCCAACGTCTCCATATGTTCAGCTAAGTTACCGATATCCTCACCCCAATCATGTGTAGTATTGGTAAACAACACTGGCCGATGTAATCCGTCGGAAGACGTGCACAGTAGAAGTGTTAGTTCAAAAGAGGGGCAACGGCGGTGCTCGTTTTAATAACAGTATCCAAACAATATGGATTGCAAATGTTAGAAGGAAATCCTAGTATATATGCTTCACGATTATCCGAAACCCGGTTGAATAACAGTCATGGGTAAATGGTCTCAACATGCAACTAGCTGACAGTTAAACAGCAACACAGTGATGGTGTGTTAGACAACGCAGCAGTGACTCCATGCAAGACGAGCTGTGAGAAGGTTCATATACTTCGAGTGAGGAAAATGTGACTCAGACAGAGGATACAGTGCAAAAGTGCTAGAGGATAACCGGATACACGGAACAGCATAAAATTTTAGTAATTATCGGCTTACTTGAATGTGTTTGATTGGTCAGCCAATTGCCGAGTCATCTGGACCGTGGGTTTGCTCGCCAATGCACGAGGTCGCGTCTGTTGGGAGGATTGGGAGTTCGACACAGAATATGCATCGGGTGGTAGAGTTGCTAACACAAACCGTGCGCTCAGGCGAGTTTCGTGAGTGCAAGCAAAAACCACCGGCCTCCCAGGTCGATCGCAATAGATTCGCAATGCCGGACTGATGAGATCACAGAATCCGAGAAGGGCCTTAGAAAGAGAAGACAGATAGGTTACAGAGTTCACCAGAGGAATAAATAAACAGACTAAGAAGCGGAGTGAGTTTACTGGGAAAACGCGTAGAAACTCGACTAGGATGTCTGATTTCGATGAGAGTTATAAACGGTTGCAGAAGATATAAATGCATGCAATTGCGCGCAAGTAAAACGAGGTAAACAAGCCGGAGATGGCATAAAGATATGTTTTCAATAGTAAAGCCATCAAACATGCGACCACTCCTTTGGGTACTCAAATTGTTGTTTGCAGTAACACTCGGGTTGGTAGTTGTGCTGGTTGGCTCGCAGAGTTGAGCAATTAGGTTGCAGACGCTTCCCTACCTATCGAAGTAGTATCGCCAATGCGTAGTGGAAAATAGCTGGTAAAAGTAACAGCACCGGATTTAACTGAAGCTGGGTTACTGCGGCAAGCTATTTATCACTAGGCATTAGCGATACCACTTCGGTAAGTGGCGAAGCCTCTGCAACCATAATGCGCAACCCGACGAGCAAAACAACAATTAAGCTCGTTGTTTTATGCAACATGTGTCCCGTAGTAGTGTATATCAATTGAGTTGTGAGAAAAATCGTCATCATCAGCAACACCAAGAAGAAATCTAAATTTTAAACCGATGCCTCATAGCCACCCAAAATTGGGGAACTTACAAAACGTACATAATAAAAAGGAGGAATAGAGACCGAAGGTAAAAATTGGATGTTTTAAACAATCAAAATTAGAGCGCCCAAATTTTAGCAACCATAAACAGTAAGTCGCCGTGCGAATAAAAAGGTGGCGTCAGTGATACAGCCTTCCTGCGGTTTTCATTGCCCCGAGGACCAATCAGCCATTACTCCACAGGTAAACAAGCATCGGACATGCTTTAAAAGGTAATTCGATTGAGGGCTGGCATGCCGAAGTACCTCTTCGTGGTGCCAGCTCGGTGATTCGGGTGTACCCCGTTCTAGTAAAGTGTTCGGCGACAGTGTTCCACCTCGGTGGGGCATTGTATTCCAGCAATGGTGCTGATTTCATGGGGAGCATTAGGCCCCTGTTGGGTGATCTACCAAACGAAAGATGGATGAACTGAACATCCAGTCAGCGATTCCCAATGGGCGCGACTCCCTGAATTCGCCCCGCTGCCTTGCGGGTAGGTTATTTAGCCAAAGGCTCGGGGTGGGGTCCCTTGAGTCCACTCCCTACTTTGGCTTGAGCAACCGTTAGTAGTACGCCCTCTCACAAAACCATGGACTGTACTACAACGTGCTCATCAGCTACCGTTTCGGCTTCTCATATGCACGCGACTTAATCACACGCCAATTGTTTGTTTGTTAACAATCCTTACTTGCCGTCAACCGATTCATGTGTTCAAAAATCCGGCTGCGATTCCGGTTGCGCCGCAAACCACGGAGTTCAACCTATGGCTCTCCTTCGTCCCCGATCCTCATTCCGTCTGGCGTGCTCCAACGTTCGGACACTCATTTAGATAGAACAGCAAGCCGGTCTAGCGCGCACCATAGTCCCTCGATATTGATGTCTGCTGCCTTTCAGAAACCCGATTGCAAGATCCCAGCACTGTGCTTCCACTGACACCCCCCACTGACGAGGAAGCCAGACATCACCTACGTCTTTCTAAAGATCCAGAAGCAGCCTCAGCGGGTTTAGCTGGTGTAGGTATATCACTAAGTGGCAAGGCCGAGGCGGCACTACTGGACTGGTTCCCGAGTAACCGCCGACTATGTGCAGTTCGGCTTCGCGGTTCAGGTAGAATCAACAAGCGCCGCGAGGAGAGACGCAACTTGTTTGTGATCTTTGTGTATGCTCCAAATGATTGCAGTGACGGCTCGGTCAAGGATGAATTCTATCGAGAACTACATCAGCTCTTGACTAATGCTAAAAGGTCGGGTGTAGTTGTCCTTGCTGGGGATTTTAATGCACGGGTTGGCTGCCTGTTACCATACGAACGCCACCTTGGTGGTCACCACGCGTTCGATGAGAACCACTCTGATAACGAAGAGAGGCTTCTCACATTGTGCGGAGACCACCATCTGTTTCTCTCGAGCACTAACTTCAGGCGTACGAAGAAGTGTTCCGCTAACACAACCGTGGTCTCAAATTGGTCACATTGCAATTAGCTTCAGATAGCGTGGCAGCGTACTGGACTGCAGGTCCTTTTGGTTCACCTTCGTTGACTCAGATCATGCACTGGTCTGCGCGAAAATCTATGTGTTTTGGGGTCCCGAAACACGAAGCACTGCAAGATTGATGTAAACAGATTAACTTATTCATCTTTCCAGGAGAGCTATTAGTCTTCACTGGCATACGTACTTAGTTGCAATCCACCGCAAGACGTGGAGCAACAATGGACTTGTATACAGAAAGCGATAACCATTTCCGGATAGTCAAGCTGCGGCCTAACTCGACGCACCTTAAAGGCTTGGATCTCTGCTCGTTCTCTGGAGCTGTTCGAACGCCGCAAAGATATCCCGACGGAATCAGATTGCAACGAGCGGCGCCATTCTGCCAACCGGTTGCTCAAGCAAAGCCTGCGCAAGGATCGCAAGACATGGTGGTCTAAGCGTGCTTTAGAGATGGAGACCGCTGCCCTCTCCGGCAACACTCGTAAGCTTGTCTAACTCATTCGGTCCACTGGCCTCCGGAAGCCTGGTGTCAGTGAGGGCATTTGCGAGGTGATGTCTCCGATCACAAACCTACAGAGGCGTATGGACCGCTGGGCTGAGCACTTTCCCTTGCAGTTCAACTGGTCTTCACCGTCCATCAGTACATGCAGTACACCTTGATGTCCACCCTGGCTCGTCCCAATAAAGACACCCAGCGAAGCGGAAGTCTGTCGCGAGATTCGACGCTTGAAGCGCTTCAAGGCTGCCGGCTCAGAAGGACTTCCTCCGGAACTGTTCAAGTACGGCGGTATGGCGGTCAGTAACCAGCTGACCGCGCTGTTCGCAAAAACCGCATGAAGAGAAAGTGTTTTTCACTTGGGGCGAATCAGTTGTTGTTCCGATTTTCAAGAAAGGCGCTCGCACTTCATCTGCAAATCATCGCGAGATCAGTCTTATTTCGGTTGCCTCCAAGCTATTGGCATCCATTCTGTTTCGCAAACGACTCCCAGTACGTGGATTGTCTTATCGTGAAGAACAAGCTGGTTTCCGTCCCGGCCGCGGATGCGTGGATCAAATTTTCACGCTCCGCCAGCTCCTCGAACATCGCCACATTTGTCACAGGCCCACTATCATTGCATTTCTGACATAGGTGCCGCATTGACTCTGCTGATCGACCTGCTT